CTAGTTTATTATATAGTAAGACGAAAGTTTCGCATGATTTTGTTATATATCCTGAAAAACGCTTTTAAAGTTCCGTCCTTTAATACTGATGCAAGGAACGTGACTGAGTGTAACATCTAATGGTCCAACAAGTGCTTAAAAAGCCCAACCACGCTGCATCAAACCAATGTCATTCAGATAGGAAAAAAGAACTCTTAATCATGTATATAAAAGACAAATTCGTACATTTAAAAGTTTTCATAAATTGTTAAAAATAATTGGACAGTTAGTATTCAAAATCTGCACAAGAGAGGGGACAACCTCGCTTCTAAATAGAGAATATTATTGGCTGTGAATTTCGGTAATCCAATGAATAAATTTGGGCCTCCCTTCCCAAGCGTAGAAGAGTACAGAATTTATAAGCCAGTGCACCAGAATGTAAAACACATCCAAATTCTAATACGAAGCTAAACCACTGGTGCCCTGAAAAGCTGAATGTATGTAGATTTTGTAAAACGTACTTAGTGATTCTCTCCGTATACCTGATCGACTGCTGCACAGCCTTCGTAAGAATCTCAGTGCCCGTACTGCTTTCTTGGTCGAATGCCAAAAGACGTGGTTATCATAAGATATTCCTAGATATTTTACCGAGTTCAACTGTGATATGTTCCGCAGGTTGCAAGTTAATCTAGATATAAATAACTGAACTATCCAGAGGTTGAACTGTAATTGCGCTCTTCGAAACATTGACTTAAATGAATAGCCTGCCAGCGAAAAATAATGACTCACTTATAAGTTTGTAAGCGAATATACAGCGAGTGTATATCACTGTGTGAAGCAAAACAATGCTATATCGTTTGCATATACATGTGCGTATACATGACAGGAAATAGTGCTTAGCAATATATTAAAAAAAGAAGTGAGGTGACTGCTTCCTCAAGAACTTTTCGTAACCTGGAATGTATATTTCAAGAATGACACTTTAGTGAACAATGAAACTTCCTCCTCAGTTACAAACTCCCTAAACTACTCATCATATAACTTGAAGTATCTTACAATTTTAATTCATTGAAAAATATTTTATCTTATACTCTGTCGTAAGCTTTTCACTGAGGAGATCATTGTTACTTTTTCTCTTTTTTTTTTTTGCTCGCGCGGAGAAGGACTACAGTGTGTGAAGAACGTGAACCCAACCACGTCGATAAGCTGACATGGGCGCGCTTGATTGCAGGTTTGCTCACGACATTGTCTGAGTCGCATTTACATAGTTGCTTTCACTCGCTGAGTAACCAACCTCTGAACCGAACTAAATCCGTACCGGTCTTGATCGCGAGCGAAAATGTCCATGCGACACCGAAATCATGGTGCGGTGTGAAAGCAAGCCTGACTGCGTCAATAAATTCTAGCCACAGCCACTTCGACGGCACCAAGCTGGAGGTATAAGCGTCATTTCGACAAGAACTAAATCAAAAAAATGAATATCTTACAATTTGCTTTCATACTCTCATTTCTAGCGTTCTCAAAGCTTTATAAATTCACCTTAGCGTAACGCAAGGCGCAAGCGACCTTAACTTAGGTAGCACGCACAAAAAAGTTGGTTATTACACAACCACAATTCCCTGTTCATACCCAAGCATAATGCTTTATGCCAAATGAACACGAAACCAAGAAGCAGCATGCTTCTATAATAACCCCACCAATACAGCAGCGCAGAAACTAAAAACAAACAAACAAAAAATGCGCTTCTTTTGATACACCAAGGGTGCGTCTACAACGGTCTGACATTTCGGGCGGAATGCTGTGGGCTGTTTGGCATCAAATGTCTGGAAAAAACTGTCAGTTCATTGCCAGTCGTCGCCGTCGAGGTAACGCCGACACAACGCACTATTTTATCTGCGCAATGAGGTGAAGTAACAGTCACAGGAATTGTGCATCGTTTTTTGAGTATATTTTATTGATCGCTACGTCAATGCGTACGTCATTGCGGGACTTTTGAATTCTTTAAGGTCGAAACGCCACGTGGTGTCGTTCACGCGAACTAAACCGGTGGTGTCCAGAAAAGCTAGATATGCTACTTAAATGCAACGTGTGTTGCATGCAATACATCAAACAAACAGAAAAGCTCTTTAACAGTTGTTTGATTAATCACAGATCCAACGCAAAATCAGCCCAAATCTACCTCTATCAGAACATTTTAACTTTCCCAGGCTTTCAGTCGGCAAATTGACAGTTGCGTTTTTAGAAACAGGAATTAAATCGAACCAGGAACGTCAACAATGAGTCATACCTTCATGATTGATGATTGATTATTATGTGGGGTTTAACGCCTCAAAAGCACCATACGATTATGAGACATGCAGTATTGGAGGGCTCCGGAAATTTCGATCACCCGGGGTTATTTAACGTGCCCCCAAGTTTGAGCACACGGGCCTACAGCATTTTCGCCTCCATCTAAAATGCAGCCGGCACCACCGGGATTTGATGCCGCGACCTTTGGTTGAGTCATACCTTATACTTCGATTTATCGCCCTCTAAAGAAGCATAAATGAGAGCCCGGGTACACCTAATAAAGTACTGTAAAATATTAACAATTGTATTAGACGTTTCGCAGCACTGTAACTGGGACGGTAACTGGACAATCAGAAATAGTTTTTATTGTGCCAACTCTTTTTATTGTGCCACTGCCGTCCATTTCTATCTTACCAAGCGAAAAAACATTGTAAGCCTGACATGTTTAGCAACCATCGCATACACAACAAAGAGCCCGCGGGAGAGGATTCTCAGAGCAGGATGGTATTCACTTTAAACGTCGATTTTCTTATCTGGCGACACCGCGTGGAGCCTCCCTCCAAGTAAGGCAGCTTTTTAGGAAACGTCGCCTTACTGTAGCCATAATACTCCGTTTTACGCGGAAGGAAATATTGAAGAAAGACGCCAACTGACTGTCCCGCCAGAGCCCAGGCACCTGATTAGGGACGGTTGCTCAAAAAAGAGGGTGCTCCCGCGACCCGCAAGCACTTATCTTAGCCGGCCTTCACTACACGGAAGGTGCCGCCACCTAAACACACCAATCGCAATGCTTCTGAAGAAATGAGCATTGACGACGTCACTCGCATAATGCAGTGATCCTCCCCTCTCTCATCCCTCCCCTTTTGTTCCTCTCTGTGTTCGTTGTTCTTGATCTCAAATTTTTTCGCACAAAATATGAAAGTGCGAGCAAATAACGTGTGCCCTCATTCCACATGAAGGCCACACTCTGGCCGATACTGTCGAAATAAACACTTCCATTGTTGCTGTGCATATAAAAAAATCTACTTCAATATATATATATATATATATATATATATATATATATATATATATATATATATATATATAGTGTTTGTGTGTGTGTGTGTGTGTGTGTGTGTGTGTAATCCAGGAATTGACTAACTGACATACTTTTCTGCAGTCAGTCATTCTTCTACTTAACTGAGCCTTCACATGGCTTCACATAATCGTAAAGTGTAGCTTGTGTTTGGTCTATGTTCCCGAGATATATTTTATCCGAGCAGCTAGGTCCCTCAGCAGTACTCCTGACGTCATCGCTCTAAATATTTTAACCTAAAGGACAATGCAGCTGCTTTCACGGTATAGCGTTGGCAGGCAATTTGCGCCAAATTGGCTACTTTAGGAGCCCATCAGGCGACATAAATGTCAGGTTGGCTTCATGGCTACTTTCAGCTACTTTGAATAATGACGTTGTCGAACTTAGAAGCCTGTGTTTCTTGAAGGCGTAAATAAATAGGCAACTCCAAAGATCGCCCACTGTTATCAAACTTTTTCTGGCGTGCAGTGCGCGCGTATGTGTTCACCCAACACCTCCTCTATTTTATCAATGCCAACCAGATACCCACAATTCCGCGGATCAAAACCCTCTGCTCTAGCCCATAATCGTAACCTTTCCTGCTCTCTTCTACCACCTAGCCTTTCTTTGTGATTTGCGGTCATAGGGGAGAGTAGCTTCTCATGCAGTGCCTTATGATGGAAGTTATATGAAGTAAGTTTTTGTTCAGTTGTGTACTGATCTCTGTGGTGGCATTTTGCATATCGTGTTCACAATATTGGCAGTCACGCTGTCTCTGTGAAATATACGGTGTTTTGAGATAGGGTGTCACCGTTGGTGGTGCTAGTGGGCAACCAGTTAGGAAGCTCTACTACAACGTTTCTGTGCGTGCGCTGCTCTGTGACGCGTAGGCGGCATCGTATCGAGCCAGAAAGAGCAGCACAAAAGAGCGAATACGACAGACGTATGATATTCTAAATGCTTTGACCTCCAGCATTACAGCCACAAACTACAGCCTATCCACTCAGTTTTTAACAACATACCAAAACTTTAGCCGCTTGAACATAGCTTCCTTCACGACACATTTATTTTGTCACTGCGCTATATAACCGAATCCCATGATTACCACTACGAGGTCGCTGTTTCATTTTGTAAAACACGAAGCTTTTTCTCTACAGCGCACACCAAACAATTGTAATCACCTTGCTTACCGGGGAAGTGGTAATAATTATCATTTTTGCTAGGCAGTGAGTCTGTACATTGTTCTTTTTTATTTACTGTATTTCCATTTATATTTCACCGCATTTTGTCCCCTGTCCTTTGTATTGAGATTATCCTCGCGGACTAATGACTCAATGAATGTGTAAACGAATGAATGAATAAATAAATAAATAAGTCATTTTTTTCGCAACACTACTGTGGGTCAAATACCAATCGACGACAAAAATTCTGCACCTAATTCAAAGTTTTTGCATAATAGAAATGATATTTGTTTCATTATATTAGGCGTTACAACGGATATAATACCAATTTTGTTGTTTTTGACTACAATCGCGGCAATGAACTTGATTAACATGACTATTTTCGCTACTTTAGCTTGCATTTCGGCTCCTTTTGAATGGTACTCAGTACCAACTCTGGCTACTTTAACGGTTCTGCAAATCCATAACAGGAAACAATGCAAGGCGTAACTTACCATTTTTCCGTTCTGTATCCCAATGTTTAGTGAACAGCTCAAAGGTTGTTCCGCCCGCAATAACTGTGGCGAGGACAGCCAGGAACGCACTGAAAAAGTGTGTACGCAGCTGAGTCGAATAAAAAACTTTTTACCCTACTTCAAGAACATTTTCTATATTACGCTCAATATGACGATAATCCATCTGTCATTCCTTTTGTCAAAGTTAGAAGTTAGACACACTGCCCTCCTTATGCCGACCATCCATCATCTCTCCTTCCACCTTAGCCCTTAAACTGACTCCATTCAGGCAAACATGTTCTCAAGCATAATAAACGTGCTCTTACCCCACATGTGTGTCCTCCCTCTTCCCTTTAACAGGACGCAAGAATTAGTGCTTAGAAGGCTTAGGGCTGGGGTGGCCTTAACACCAGCTGTTATCTCAACGTCAAGTGGACGCATATACCAATGGGTGACAAGTCTGTACTCATCTGTTTCATTGACGAAAGGACATGCATACCATCCTATATGTACCTGCCAAGGGGGGCAATTAAAACAATCCCATCACTTCCTGAAAGCCAGCATTCGCTACAGTCACTCAACGCGTTAATATAGCTTGATATATGACAACATATTCCACTAGACACTACGTTACTTCGTACACTACACCGACCTAACGGCACACATTAATTAGGTAGTGATAAACACGGAAAACATAAGGCGCTAATGGCAAATCTATATTTCAATAAAAAACTCTGATACGGTTCTTTTAGTACTTACATAATCCATGCTTGAACAGTGCTTATGCCTTCATACTCATTTGTCACACAGTCCTTGACGGTAATCTTCACCGTAGGTGCTGCCACTGTAAAAACAATAAATATTGGGAGTGAATAGCTAAGGTTTGCTTCGAATTCATGTGTCACAAAATAGCCGGAGGGCGTTCACTACTGCAGGCATCTTAGAGTCTGCACGCGTCCCGCATTAGCAATGGCCTTGTTTCATCATAACGATTCGCTTCACGCTTCTCAAAATTCTTTGAATTAATTCGTTATTTTCAGCCAACCGAAACCTTATCTGAGCTTTTGCACCAGTAACTAGTCACCAGGGCGTTCAGTCTTCTAAATGTAGAGCAGAATGCTGTTTAAACAATGTTAAGGCCAAATGCTTGAAAATAGAATGTGAAGTGGCAGGCTGATGATCAAGGCGTGCTAATGTCGCAGACATTGCGTTCGACACTCTTTTATTCTGTTTAAAAAAAGATGAATTGTTTCAAAGAGGATTCGCGCAAGATAATTTTTGTCGTTTACGTTCATTCAAATGACGCCGTATTAACCTCTCTTGTCAAACAATTAAGTCAAAAGAACACACTACCAAAAATACAATATGACCGGTAAAGTCTCGAATTTCAGCTGGTTCCTAACCATGAGGTTGCTTTTTCTTGTATCCTACAGGTACCGCTACTTTGTGTCCCGTTGGGCTTTAAGGTGAAGTCGTTCGGCTATTCTGGGTCCATCTCGAGAATTTTCTTTGAATTCTACATAGTTGACAAATTGAATACAAATGAGCAGCATGGTTGGAAATTCGCCAGCGAGCGTTTAGCTTCGAAAATGAAAGGTTACCAAGAGTGTAAAATGCAGAGAATGCTTCAAGTTAAGGCACAATCAGGTTTGTGATACGATTGAAGAAAACGTCATCATCATCATCAGCTTGACTATGTTCACCGCAGGACAAAGGCCTCTTCCATGTTCCGCCAGGGAACTCGGTACTGGGCTTGCTGCTGCCAATTTATACCCTCAAAGTTCTATGTCTCAACTGCCCCCCTAACCTTCTGTCTCCCCTAACCCGCTTGCCTTCTCTGGGAATCCAGTTAGTTTCCCCTAATGACCAGTGGTTATCTTGTCTACGCGCTACATGCCCAGCCCATGTCGATTTCCTCCTCTTGATTTTTACTACGATATCCTTAACCACCGTTTGTTCCCTAATCTACACTGTTCTTTTCTTGTCTCTTAAGGTTACGCCTACCATAGGCTTGTCTAACTTTTATAGGCTTGTATAAATTTCGCACTTGCAGCTGAAGACTTGTGTCTTATAAAGCCACTTTGTTGTGCTTTTTAGGGTAGTTTACTTAAAGCTGTACGTCGATTCCTTTTTGTTTCGCCTGGTCACCTTCGCAACCTTGTTGGAAAATGAAGTCAGTTCGAAAAATTGATTGAACAACAAATTTTAACCTTGTGTGTATTGTTGTGTGTTTTAAAACAAGGTATGTGTGTTAACCATTGCACACACCATGCTCGAATAGGCTGTTTATTTGCTTGTGGCGAAGTAGTTGAGACGCCTTCTCTCGACAAATTATGAAATAAAACTGTCTCTAAAGTTGCCTTCATTGCAATCGATAGTCAGTGCTGCCCATATTTCACAATATCTATGAAAATGGTGCCATGCTCATTCGTCAAAGCCGCTCATCGAGTATTCACACCTGTAGAGTGCAATTTCAAACTAACTTCTCAGTAGAAAAGGCCTGCGTTCAATGTTCTTGTTTATTTTTTGCTGTAAAGTGCTGAAATTCTTTAGCAATACACATTGCTTCAACAACAAATCATGACAGCTTTACTCGTAAATTGAAGCTTTAGCTTCGTGTCGAGGTGATTCAGTGTGTGTCTCAGCTTACACTTGTCATTATACAATTAGTTTCACCCATTTTCTTGCACTCAGACAATCATTGACTCGGCTACTCTCTGAAAATTTAAATGCTCAGCATCATGAGCTGATTTTGCTACGCCCTTCTTTTTATGTAGTAAAGTTTATCTTTAGAGTAGTAGTTGTATGTTTATAAAAAAATTGGGTCAGCTTATTTGTACTTGCCTTCTCGCCTGAGCTATGTTTGTGTACTACACACCCTTATTATATTGCTCATGTAAGGAAGTCAGATCGTTATTCATTAGTGAAGAAATCAATTTGCAAGAGCATACGAACTAGAAATACTTCCTAAAATCTAAACCCGGGAGTATTTCCACTTGAGCGAAAAAAAAAAAAAACATCTTGCGTGCACAATCCACTGCTTTTATGGGCGCCGGCCCGTCAGTTTGCTTCACTGCCCTGCAAACAGGATGTGGCTGACACTGAACCTAATTTCTTTCTTGTGCGTAGTCGAAGCGCGCATATTCATTTAAACTTTGAACTTTGAACTTTGAACTTTACTTAACACCAGATTTGGGGGGGGGGGGGAGAGTTCAATTAAGCAAAATGCTTTTCAAAACTGCTAGAGTTGGCCTTGGAACCACACAGACAGCCTAAATTGATGCAATCACACAAAAAACAATAGAAAGGCAGACATAACTTGATATCTCGAAATAATGGAACAATTACGCAGAGGAAGTAAAGAGGTGCGCAACATGCCAGACAAATTGAGAACGTCTTTCCAAATATATACGAAATAGAAAATCGAAATGAAGATATGCAGTCATGTGAATGTGAAATCAGTTTTAATGATATATTATTCATTAAACAAGTCTTATCATAGAATGGATTATTTGATATTTCTTGCTAATTTTGCCTAAGTCGAATCAAGCATTAAAGCTAAATTTCTGCAAACCAATAACTTCGTACTTTACTAAAGCAAGCAAAGCCGAGCTGCCATCCTAAAAAAACTTTTTTAAACTCATTCAGTCACGGTACTCTTTCTGGTCACTCTTTAATATGAGGCTTTTGAAAATCAATCACGTTGTAAAGAAACGTGAGGCACTTCGCCAAAGAAAAAAATGACTACTAATTGAGGCCGCACTTTAAAGCCAGTGATGTTGAACCCTTATTTAAATGGACTACCCGTCAAGGTTTCGGAGGTGATGCTTCGCAAACAAGCTGTTTATTTTTTCCATTACCAGGTTATACATGGCGTTTTCTTGCTCTAAGTTGCCACGACTTATAACTGCCAACAGAACTGCTTAACAATAGCATGTGATATCCAGTTGAAACAGAGCGTTTTATAGGTTCTATATATTTTAGTTCAACAATGGCAGAAAACAAGAGCTGCATGATTTCAGAGCATGCAAGTAGAATACTTCAAAAAAGTAATTGCTCAAACTTCCCTTCATCATTCAGTTGCGCTTAAGCCGTGAACCCGTGAACCATCTCTCATTTGGAGTGTGCTCGTCCTCGATTAGTAAACCGCACCTTACTTAGATTTATCCCTTTGTCCTTTTAATTCAACTTAACTCTTTTTCTTGAATTATTGCGAAAGCCGATCTTGATCTTTCATTAGAGGCGACAACTATGACTCGGTGCGCTAGTGGGGCAAGGCTGGAAACAACAGCGGTGAAAGTGCTCGACCTAGCTTGTCCGAGTTTTTGCTAGTGATGCCAAGTTTATGCTAGAAATGCTAAGATTTTGTTAGTAGTACTAAGTATCCTAACCCTGGGTTATCCTCCAAATTCACCCAAGTTCTCCACACTACACACGTGTCACGTGATTATTGAAAGATGTCACGTGAATAAGTGTTAGGTGATGCTGGTATTTAAGTGACGTAACTAGTTGCTGCATGATTCTTGGCAGGAACATGGTAGGTGACTAGGTTTAACGTGACTTTAGTCAAGCGACAACTTGTTACGTGATGTTACGTAATTTGAGTGGCGTGACTAGCTGTACAGGGGTTTCGGCAGGATTATGCCACAGGTCTAGATCTTACGTGGTTTTGGTAGAAACACGTCACGTGCCTAGCTGTTGCGTTATTTCACGTTATATTAGCTACGGGACCAGCTGTTACGTGATATTATGACATTTGTAGTCACGCGACTAAATTTGTTATGGTGACTAGATGTTACTTGAAATAGCGTGACTAGATGTTACTTGATGTGGCTGTCTTGGTGATAACACTTCACGAACTAGCGCTTACATGAGTTTAGGTCACGTGACTATATAATGCGTGGTTTATGCCGAAATTTTGTCACATTGCCCCGCCGCGGTGGTCTAGTGGCTAAGGTACTCGGCTGCTGACCCGCAGGTCGCAGGTTCGAATCCCGGCTGCGGCGGCTGCATTTCCAATAGAGGCGGAAATGTTGTAGGCCCGTGTGCTCAGATTCGGGTACACGTTAAAGAACCCCAGG